TTTTTGATAACTTTTAAAATGCTCGAAAATTCAAAAAATATGAAAAAACAAAATCCTGAAATTCTCATTTGCTTGTATACATTGATCAGTGCAAGTACACTGTGTAAGAATGAGCTGATGACGCCATCAACCTTACTTCTCAATGTCGTTCAATTCTCAGCAATTTCTATAACCTGAATAAGTTGTATCGATCAAATCAGCTGTTTTCATTCTTTAGAAAATCCCACTGTCTAGTGATAACTTGCGGATATATTGATACTTTCTACTACTCGCCTGCAGTTTGAGGGTGCGCTTTGAAAATTTTACTTTGGCTGCATTAGAGTGACGAGTTTTTTCGTGTAACCGTTATTCAAGACTCTGTGATCACACCTGAATAGAACTTATGCCTTTTGAGATTCCAACTGGACCGGATTAGTTCATTGTGTAGTTGGATAATATAATATAATACAACCACTTTCTTGTCCGTTTGTGTGTCGTCATTCGTTGCGTTAGCTAGCGACATGATATCGTTCGCTAGGTTCGCATGCTCTGCATTGGTGTACATCACTAAGCCTTAAGGTAGCACATATCTGAACGTTAAGGATGGCAGGTGGATTAAGAGAGTTTTTAGAATTTGGTCTTTTTCGGTCTTATCATTTTTGCTCTTTTCGGTTAGGTAGTGCCCTTTCGATACACGTCGTGATTATGGCGGTAGACGATAAATCCACCGATAATTTTTCACCAACTTCTTAAATTTCAGGTATACCCCGGCATTAATCTCAACGAGAATGGCGCCCAGCGGTGAGTTATTGTTATCCGTGGAACACGTCAAATATCGTTCACAGTCCGCATCTCGTTCACCGATCGGAACCTTCACGGTTTACGAGGATCGAGTTGTGTGGAAAGACAACACATCTGATGATAACCTCGTCATTTCATTCAACGATATCCGAGGTAGTTACTTCATAATCGTTAGTTCCGTGTTGGTTCGAAATCATCGTAAATGATGTGTGATGCATTTGATAAACTTTTATTTTTCGAGGTGCTCAGTTAATTCTACAAAAATGTCCGGAGGACTTGCACATGGAGATTAGTCCGCATGTTATGAATTACCATATAAGAGTGCATAATCTCGGAAGAGTCTACTCGTCATATTCGACCAGCCATAAAATCTAGCTACTTGATTCTTTCAGCAACGCAGAAAACCGAGAGTTAGGCGCTACAATGACTTTGTTGGATTGTTTACGTACGGAAGAAAATTTCAGGTCAACGCGTGTCACCTCCGAACAAATCCAAAACACAATTGCAGATCTGCCTTAATGACGAGCAACAACCAACTTTTGTGTTCGTGAATCCGGCTGGCGATAAAGAAGTACACTCTTAAATGTTTACCAATTCAACTGTTTCTTTAATCGACTGTTACTGTTTCTTTCCCAGCATTCGCTTTTATTTCGATTATATTTATGAAGATATCAAAAGGTGACTGTAGAGGCATGAATGGAATAATTAAAAGTTTATGTACATTTGTTGTGAAATATTGAGCGGTTCCATTCAACAATAGCTTCATTAGAAAGTTTCATCCGTATGCAAATAAGAATCTCTTCATCTGTTGATTGTCAGGTTCATGTGAAAGAACGAGATCTGGTCAAGGAAACGTTGCAGCAGGCTCTTATACGGCATCGTCAGTTGGCCAATCAGGTAGTAATATCAAAATGATCATTTCTGTTCGTGTAATCCAATCATGTATGAACATTTCTAATTAAGCTCTACTTTTCTTGTTCGCGTTTGATCTGAGCCATTTTAAATAATCGATCCGACCGTGCCATTCTTGCTTGTTCCCCTCTCATTCTCCGTTTGAAGATTCTCTTCGGCGCATTTCTACACCCAAATGTTCTTCAATTAACTTTGCCATTTGCGTTTCTTAACAGATTCAGTTTGCAGGCGGTATTGAATGCACAGAAATATGGAAGGGCACAAGAGATGCAAGCCAAGAAGAAACTCCTGGAACAGGATACCCATTTGAAAGAACTCTACAAGCACTTGGTTGCATCGAAACTGATTCCTGCTCAGGATTTTTGGACCGATTACTATAACGCGGTTGATTGAATTTATTCGAATTGTTCTTTAAAGTTATTGAAATTATCAGTATTGAAGTTTATCAGTTCGATTAAAAAATAATCCATCTCAAATTTGGAGTCGTTTCGTACAGATGAAAGAAATTCTGAATTGTTGTTTGTGTGAAACTATTGAAAAATTTGTATAAACNGTCAAGAAGTCCTATGAGTTGTGGAACATAGTTTAATGTTTGGTAATCCTTCAGAAGGACGAGAGTAACGATGAAAAGTTGGGTGTTTCGGGCGGTTTCTTGAGTAGTATTGCGCAGTCTGAAGGCACGAATGGTGTGAAGTTGAACTTGAACGTTGATACCATTCAGAGTATCTTCAAAACCTATCCTGCAGGTACGTACTTCAACTGAATCACTCATTACTCTTGTTCCTCACATTGTTCGATTGTTAAAGATAATGGCGACAGTATTTATTGAATGATGAATTACTGCAATGGGCAAAACCTGCGAGAATTCTTCACCATCTACTCGCAAGTTGCACTCTTTTCGGTGATTTTTTTTTGTAAAAGTTTTTCAAGTGTCCATTATGAAAAAGATCGTGTATTATGCAGTAATAGATAAGAGCTGCTGAAAATTAATGATGAGTTTATAATTATTTGTGTTCAGTGGAGAAGAAACATTTGGAATTGGTACCGCACGAAATGACCGAACAACAATTTTGGAGTCAATTCTTCCAATCGCATTATTTCCACCGCGAACGAACGGTCGCTGTGAATCCCACAGATCCGTTTGCCGACTGTGTCAAGGCTGATACTCGAGGTGAACAATAATATGAAACTTTTACTTTCAATTTATTTCAGCTGATTTTCTTAAAATTTGTTCAATAATACTTCAACAAGTATGTGTTGCATTTAGCTTTATATAAGAGACCTGCAATTTCTTCTTTCTCATCTTTCAGAAATGAATAAGATGTTGGAATTGCCAATATCCCATAAGGCATTGGATTTCGCATACCTCAGCGATGTACCAAAATTAACTGATACTAACAATGTTAGTTTTCTGCATTTAAAAAAAAACAGTGTTTTTTATTTTACGTTGCATGCTTCTGTTGTACTTGTAATATGCATTCAATCGTGTTTTGTCTGTAATTTGTGTGAAATTCTGCTCGTGAGAAGTTGAAACATTTTATGAATCAGTTCGGAAAATGGAGTTACCTGGAAATGGTGAAAGCTGAATGGGTTGAAAGAACTTTAGAGAGTTTAGAATTATCTAGCTTCGAAATTTAAAATGAATGGAAATAAATTCAAATTGTCCGTTTGTTTTCTGGTTTTTTTCCCTGCACGAATATTTTCGCATTATTCATAGTTTAGGAGGCTCCGGTAATCCAGGAGGATGGCTTGTCGAGTAAGGCGTTGCTGGTGAGACGTTGTAACTACCATTCAGGTCGCGTGCTGATGAGCGCCCAAGAAAATTCACTTATGGATTCAGGGAAGAGTGAAAAACACGATAAATCAAAGTCAATGGTATGCTTAGAAGTGTTTAAAACGAATTTTGTTTGTTCCTAATGTCATCTATGAGTTCATGTCAGTAATATCGCTACAAGCATTTACAACGATAGCAATGGCTGTCGTGATTAGAAAAGTATCAGTTGCGATGATTTGGTGNCAAAGAAGCTATTAGGATTGTTATGGAAGGACACTCCACATTTGTGTATTATTCGGCCAGTTTTTAGGATCCTTGCTCTTCATCGAAATTGTATGACGAGGACACCATAGAAATTGAGAGTGCAGAGTTGGAAGATGAGAATCCCGAAGAAATTTGGGAAGAAGTGACTCTTTGTGAATCAGATTTGAACGCGACATCAAATCAGTTATCACCTGAACGATATCAGGAGTTGTCATTGATCGTTAAAAAGCTTGCTGCTGCTCCTACTACTCCTATGGTACTGTGTTCGTTCTGTCTCAATCATTTAAAATGTTTCTGAGGCTTCTGGATTTTTTTGATCGGAAAGATTCTTTGGCATCCAACCTCTGAAGTACTTGAAGGAAGTGGATTCCGATGTGATGTTTGGTGACGATAATTTTTCATGGCTGACAAACGGATCAATGCAAAATGGCGACGCCAATGGACATAAGGAATCGGAACATCAACAAGAGAAAAAAGAACTGAAGCCACATCAGTTGGCTCAACTTGCCTTGGTACATGATGCATGCGCCGAACTGCTCAAGCATTTTTGGTCGTGTATGCCTCCAAATACAAAACCTCTCCAGGAGAAGGTAACGGCAGTATGATGAATTCAGCGAACTTGAGTTTAGATTGTTTATTGAATGCAATTTGATGATTTCCGGGCATGAATGACGCAGTATGTAGG